TATTTCTTCAACCACAATTAACGTGTTTCATGATACAAGACGTAGCGAGAGATCTTGTAACTTACTTGTATATACGGAAGAGTTGGTAAAGACCAGTAGCAGCGACAAACATATTAACACTAAACAGGTTCCAGTTCTTAGGGATAATCACCAGAGAATACCTTAAAAAAATAAAAAAAATAATGCATTATTTTCTGAGCATAAACATCAAGGTTCTAATATGTCTTATAAACCCTTATCTGTCTTCAGGATTATCATTTGAGATTTTTTGATAATGACAAAAAGTGGTTGACATAGTCACACTACTATTATTACTCAACGCATCCATACCCGTTAAATACATTAAACAAAGTAAAAAATCTCTTTCAAGTTAAAAATTATTCTACATTTCCAATAAGTTAAATTGTGTACAAACATTCTTGACAACAATGAAAGGTCTTTCTCTAAGGACATACTAGTTGTGTTTTAAAAAATTTACTATCTTTCAAAATAGTTGATTATTAAACAAAGCAAAACATAAACACTGCATACATTACTCCTCCTCTCCTCCCATGCGCACATATATATAAACCCTGAGTTGCAGTGTCTCTGCCAACTCACCTCGACCAGATAAGCCCTGTCGCTGCTAGAGCAGAGGACTGTGAAGCTGACAGCTTTTCAGCTGGCCTTGTCAGGTCTCCCAGGCCAGCAATGACAAGACCCTGAAAATTAGAATCCAATCTTAATATCAATCTTAGTTTAAAGGATTTCATTTAGAAGTACAGACTATATCTTCTTTTATTATTTCTAGTTACTAATTCCTAATCAACTTATTCTTCCACCTTTGTCTTTATTCATTCTTTATCCAATCCTTGTACTTGAATTATATATGTGTCATTTAGTTCAATCTTCATAATCTTTATCTATCTTGAAGAAATTGGTTCTTACATACCCACTTGAAGCAAGGAGCCCAGAAGAAAACTGTCTTTGGACCTAGAACACCAACAAGATCAGACATGTTAAGCAATTACTATGTATACTTAAATAATAAACAACGATACTCATTTGTCTTTTTCTTTATTTTCCAAAAATGTCTCATAAACTGCTAGTCCTTTTGAGGTACATAATGAAGACTACCTAGAAATATTTTTTAGGAAAAGGATTAGGGAGAATCACAAAATGATTCAGACATGAATAACAAATATTCAAGAAAAGATAATTTCATTAAACAGTATCTCTAAACACTGAATAGTGTCTAAAGATGCCACTTCTTTCTCTTTATAATATTTGCTAAAGCATATATTTATTACAGTTAAATATAAAATCTAATATATCAAACACATTAATTGAAGTTACATAATATATGAAGCCACTATCAACTAAATCAGTAACAACTCAAAGTATATACCTCTTTATCTTTCTCCACATAATGCAAGGGATAACCCATCCTTAAAGAGAAACCAAAATTCATGGCAGCAAACTATGTTATAAAACAATGCAAATTCACACCATTGTACATCAGGCTCAAGGCCAAAGACTTTGGTTTTCAAACCAAACTCACTCACTCTTTTTAAATCATTACGGACCTATTCAACCTCCTCCCCCATCTTCTTCTTCTTCTTCTTCTTCTGTTAGGCATTTTCAACATTTGTATCCCTCATTTGATAAATGATTATAGACATGAAATAATTGAAGCTGCTTCACTTTGTTTATCAAAAAATATTCTCTGCTTGCCAACATAATAACGGATACAAATGCACTACATAAAAGATGTTGATTTACTGAACACATCTGAATAAATATCCAACATTACCAACAGAAAACCATCTCTTCCACATGAGAGTAAGTTTTTAATCAAAATATATCCTGTTAATTAAAACCATAATTACAATAGCAACACTAAACCATTATTTTGATGAAATAGAAAAAATAGTAACCTCATAATATATACATAAACTAAATGCTAATAGGGGGATAAAAGAAAGAAACACTCCATACAGGAACTCATCAACAATACCGTTCACTTGATTAAGCAGCATGAATGGTGGAAGGATGTGTCCCATTAACAATGTTTCATACTGTCAAATCAGTATTTGATTTCACTCTTTTGTTTTGTTCATTTTTTTCCCTATCTACAATTTATCAAATTTCAATCCATGCATTTGGTAACTTAATACTTTATTTGGGTTTCTATAATCCATAGAAATTGATTTAAGTATAATAAATAAAAAGATATTATCATAGTGCATAATAATCCAACCAAGCTCGATTATTATCATTAATCCAGGATCATTGTAAATGTTACTGTTATTGTCATCATCATCATCGTTATCATAATAGTCAACATGATTATTACTTTTGTTACTATCGCTATCACAATTCACAAAATTATGCACATCAACAATTATTACTATTATCACCATAATTATAATTGTCACTCATAATAAAGGCCATTGCAAAATTTCAAAAAATGTGATCCAGACTTATTTCCAAACAGCAACAAGAAAGAATGAAAGAAATTCTAAGAGGAGTAAATGAAATTACCAATTACTATAAAAACTGCACCCTATATGTCAATTAGTACGCGGCAATCCGGCTTTTGTGATAAGCAATGTATGGAATTGATATATCTATGCAATCTAGGACACTTTGCCTATGACATTTAAAATAGTTCTTCAGGGCTTTGCAATGTCTATTTTGATGACCTAATTGCTCTATCAACCCAAAACTGATGGGCATGGCATGAACGTACATACCATGCGGACTATGAGTTTACTTAATTAATTGTTTTTACACATAGATGGCTCCACTTGTACTAAGTCACCAATGAGCCAATTATGAGTACTACTTGTCTCACCTGGTTACCCTCCTCCTTGATTTTCAAAAATACTTCATATTATCATATGCTGCTGTTACTAATATCAATAACATTATAGGTATTTTAATATCTTTCATAAAAACACCATCAATATTCATAGCATTAGTAAGAAAAAAACAAATCCTGTAAATTCAAGGAAAGAGTGATCACAAGGTCTACTAATTGACGTCCGGAGACATTTCACAGAAAATTCTCAAACGATGAGTACAGCATTTTCCTGGTGACAGAGGGTTAAATGTGAAAGGACATATATCATGACAGACTATACGATGAATATATCTGTTGGCTTCTTTTCCATAGCAAGGGTAGGCACAGAAATACTACAATACTGTGCACAGAGTATGACATGCAGGTGAGTGCACTGCAACAAAACCATACACTCAACATCATTGCACAAAAAGCTGAAATCAATGAATTTAGGGTTGGAGCCCCATGTGGGATGTGGGGGAGGGGAGCTAGCAAGGAAGCTCCATAGGATATCTAGCCATAAAACATGCGATAAATAACAAGAGATGTAATAAAAAGTAGGTATTAGTTACCAAGAGCCCTCCGGAGACAAAATCCCAAAACCAGGGTATCACGTGAACCCAGAATCCAAACCTAACCTTTCCTACCTTTTTATTTACTCCCTAGACAGCGAAGCAAGCCCCCCTACACCTCTCCTTTATTAGCACTTCATCCTAACTTACAGAAAATGCATTAAGAACTTTGACTGAGTGAGGGTGCTGTGGACATCTTCGTCATTTTGCAGTGAACCGGAGCAGCTGTATATTTATTTATCTATTTTCTTCTGCTTTCTAAGATGGCAGTGTCCATTTCCCCTTTGTGTGCATCGCTTTCGGTAATATTAACCTAAAAGAGGGAAGTGGCCACTGCCATTTGATAAAAAAAAGAAATTGAGTAAATCATGCATAACACATGAGAAAAAGAAGGCTTGTTGATCAGCAATATTGCAAACGATAAAAAAAGTGTAAATTGTAAACTGAAGAAAAAGCAACTTTTACCTATCAAACAGAAATATGATAAAGACAAAATACATGCTACTCCTATAAGTTCACTGATAAATTACGTAATAAACAAACGATCAAAAAAATAAAAGCCTACATTCTACCTCGCGTAACTAGCAATTCCACACATGCAGTAATTTGTCAAAACAAATTAAACTAATATGATAATCCGCTGCAAATGACTTCATTAAACCCCAACAGGCAAAACAGGAAATTAAAACAAAATTTAAAATAATTATAATTGACCTGCGGGATGGTTCCACATCGGCTGCATCTTGGGAGGAACGAATTTATCCGCCGTACGGATCACTGCTCGGTAAATCGCCGACATTGTTCTTTTGTGCGGTCTTCGGAAAGACTTATGCAGATAAAGATAATGCAAATACTGTGGAGGGGTTAAGAAATATGAGGAATGTTGGAGATCACGACGACAATACTCCTCCTCTGACCGCTGGAGGGACACTGCCGAATTTTTTTTTTCTTTGCTGAAGGTAACATGAGGAATGGGAGGTTTCGTTATCGTTTTTCGTCGCGGAATTATTTCTGTTGTTAAAACTATCCTTATAGTCTTATATTGTTTATGAATAAGTTCAATTTTTTTCAGGATGCGCTTTCTTTGATAACAGCTGTATCTTTATTCGCGATGTCGGTGAGTTTTAATTAATTTAAAAATAAGGATTATCAAACATCTGACATCCAATGAGCGAAGATTTTGACAGAAAATGTAAACGAAAATTTGAGGACAAACTAATATATCATTAATTATTGGTGGGTTTATCATAGCAAATTCTTGATTGTATACAAAGACAGGGAACATAGAGTACTCGTCGTAAAATCAAATGCCAAAATGGGTTTTGTTCATGCATAACAAGATAAGAAATGATAAAAACTGATAAACGCATCACATTTACAAAGATACAGTAAACAGAAGTACGGACAAATATTAAGATATTTCTCAAACAATTAATACATTTCTCAAATATGAAAAGTACCGTAGATGTTAGAATGTACACTGCACTTATATCAATTAATTACTTGAATGATCTTCACGAATAAAATGCGTGTGTATTAAACATCTTAATAGATATTCACAGGTTAATCGTCTTTGAAGCTCTAATAATAAATGCAACTATAAATACATAACTTACAAGTAGTAAATAAAAATCAAATAAAAAAAAACATAACATAAAACTCTAATCCTTGTATCCAAAGCATTGCAATGTCAGGTACATCAAATATTGCAATAAGTACCTAATAGTTTTAAGGCCCCGTGGCGCAATGGTAGCGCGTCTGACTCCAGATCAGAAGGCTGGGTGTTCGAGTCACTCCGGGGTCATGTTCATGAACACTTTTATGTTTTTCTGTGAAGCTTTCGGAAAATAAAAGTAATAATGATAGCAACCATAACAACGTCAAAAAGTGAATCTAATAATATAATATGGAAAATGAAAATGCTGTTAATGATTACCATAACTGCAAATACAATAATAATGCACCTTGTAATGATAATGGTATTAAGGGGGGCGTTACCTGCACAGATTAAGAGGGCGCAGAGGGGGCAGTGACATCTCCTCTTAGATATGCCCCTGTCAAGTGGTGAAACAGGGAAAAACACCAATATTGTTTTTAGTAATAGTACTTATAATCGTGACTATCAGTGCAATTATGAAAATATTGATGATGGTAGTGACGCTGTAAAGAATAGCAATGATAACAAAATAAATAACCGTGACAATGATGAGGATGACTATAGTGGCACTGAAAGTTGATGTTGATGTTGATGCTATTAGTGGTTATATGATAGTATTAATGAAGATAATTGTTGTATGAAAGTATTAATAATAATTATGGTTATATAATAGTATTTATGATAATAATGGTTATAATAATGACCGTAATCACGAAAATAATTAATAACAGTCACAGTCATCATCATTCTTGTCTCCGTTATTATTTTTTCCTATTGTATTATCATTGTCATTAGTGACATACTGCTATGTACATTATCGCTGTCTATCAAGATGGATATTAGTAATGCTATTGTTGTTATCACTATTATTTCAATCGACTTATCATCATTATTATTGTTATCATTATTGATTGTTATTATGAATTATTGTTATTATCCTCATCATTACTGCTACTATTGCTACTACTTTTACTGTTATTTTCATTGTCATTATTATCACTAGTAGTTTAATTACTTCGAAGATAGCTTTTACTTCCAGAACTTCGGCGTTGCCATGGGCTCTCCTCTCTGTGTAGTCTTGAGCCAACTATACTGTAAGTCTGAGCTTCTCCCTTCTATCTCCTTTTGTCCTCCAGCGTGGATAAGGCATGTTGATGTCATCTTTGCTCTCTGGTTTCATGATCTTGCCCTCTCTCCGACGAAACTGATGAACCTGAACTCTTTCCCTTGACAATAAGCTTCCTTTTTTTGACACTGATTCACTGTCCACATATCCTTTTCAGTACACGGGAAGCCGATGTTGGGTGTGCATGCGCTTTCTCTTTCTCTCTCTCTTTCTCCCTCCATATTCTAGAAGGGAGCTGCTTTCTGTCACTTTTTTAGCGCCTTCTGGATGTGTGGACCTCAGTACTTGGATAGAGAGATTGGTTTCCTGCGTCGATTTTGCAGGACCTTCCTGTTCTAGACACTGAGTTATCCGGGACGAGGCGCATCTTCTGCTACATTACTTTTCTCAATAGACTCCACACCTGATAGCGCTCAGCTAGCATTACACTGAGGATGTTTACTCTCTCGTCACCATCTTTACCCTCTCAACTGCAGGCTCATCTGAATCGTGTTAATATATGTAAAATTCTATTTATCATTATTCTAAGGCTCTGTCCTACGAGAGGTCCTATTTGGCATCCATTTTCTCCATAACCCTCTATTCTCTGTTAATTCACTTAACATGCCCAATCTTTTCCACAGGACTGAGGGCCATTTCCTCAGTCTAGCAGTAGTAGCAGCATCATTGTAATACTACTACTACTGCTACTACTACTACTACTACTACTAAACAACAATAGTAATAATAATAATAATAACAACAACAACAACAACAATAATAATAATAATAATAATAGAAAAACCCACAATGTCAAAACTAGATGTACTGAAAATGAGACAACACTTTCGGAATACATCTGGATTCCATCGTCAGGTCTGTTGTTGTCACATTTTCAATAAATCTAATTTTCACAGTGTGGGTTTTTCTACCATAGTACCAACACGGTAGAGTGTTTTCTTCATTCATAATGATAATGATAATAACAATACTAATAAAATACGCATATACATCTGCAAACTGCATAGCAAGTTCTATACTGAGAAGTAGCACCACAGAAACTGGACCTCCTGGACCTGGCCTCGCCAAAGTGCAGTCTTAGAATGTTAAATTTCGATATTACACATATTCATATATCTGTTTAAATTTAATTCTACGTTTACTGTATTGCTGGTTTTACTTGTTTCTGGTCCTGTTTTATTTAGTAATAATTTAGTGTGAAACTTAAATTTAGGTTCACCTGTCTAATTTCATTTAGTAATAATATCTTGTTGACCATGGTTAATGGTCACAAAGGAAAATAAATGTGCAAGACATCAAAGGTCATATAGCACTAAAGAAA